ACAAAACAGTCTGAAAAATGTCCCATTGTACCGAAAGACCTTTATTCGAAAAACAAATGGGCCATTATTTAGACTATTGGGATTTCAGAATAATGTGCCGTCAGAACAATGGCATGGCACCTTTGTCGCTTTGTCAGTTTAAGTGATTTGTTTTTCATGGACATTGACTTTTGGCCTCACAGTGTAAAAACTTGAAACATTTACTAAATGATTTTCAATAAACTTATATGGGTTTGACAGCACTCATCTGTAAACACGCACCTGTAATGATGGACCCACAGGTTGGCTGATCGAGGTTAAAAAGGTTTAATGATTTCACATCTTAAATTTAAAGCCATTCAGACCAAAATAGATTGAATCAAATTTAAATTCATCTAGATTCATAGGAAGGCTCATCTGGTTCCTCAACATATCTGCAGTAAGACAATATCATTGCCCTTTTTGTTCTTGAGGACAGAGGCAGACAGCTACATCTCTAATCCCGACATATTTAGCTGGATAATCACCTTTCATTATATAATCCTCAGGTTAGGTAAGGCTTCATACAATAGAGATACACCTCATTCACATTCATCAGCCAAGACAAGACGAAGTATCAGATTAAACAAAACAAACAGAATAAAATCTTCTTTTTCTTTCCTTTCTTTTGGTGGCTGAAGAAGGTAAGCTTGTTTAAAGATGTATTTTGCTGTACTAATGATTTGTAGAGAAGTGTCAGCTTGTTTTACTCTGCAACGTTTAAAAATTCAAAGCAACTGCAATCAGCTATGGTTGTCTTGTACACATCATGTTTGAGGTTGCCACTTGGAATCTAATGAGACTGACAGACGTCTCTTCTCTGCTTTATACTATTTGATTATCTGGATCTCAAGTATATTTTGCTGCACAAGCCGACAGATGGCCAACCCACTGTTTCTGTTTGTTTTGGTTCAATATTTGTGCCCCCGTTGCTTGCTACAATCACATCAACAGACTTATTTAAACCAGCTCCACTGTGTGATTATCAGGCTAGGCAAGGAGGATGAGGTTGTAATTAGACAAGAATTATACAAAGCAGCAATAAGGAGATTGTCCCAAATAAAAAGACAGGAAAAAATGTCTGTGAATGAGAAAAATATCTCATCCTCGCCTTCTGTTACGTTCTATCTGCACCAATACTGAAGGCGACAGTCTCATTTCAGAGCCGTGACATGAAATCAGTGCTGGGGGGTGGGGGTTAGGGGAGGTAGAGGAAGTGGTGGAGAGGTGTTAAGATAGGTGAAGATAAGATGGAGTGCCAGACCCGATTGCATTACTATTGGTTGTTTATGGATCAGACACAGGCTGGTTTGGCCCTCTGGGATTGATTGTCTTCTGACTGGACAGCAGGCGAATGGAAAGATAATACGGAAAACAAAGAGAAAACAGAGAGAGAGTACAAAGCTGGACGAAGCCTCACCTGAACTCACAGCCAATCCGAGTGGAGTTGTGAGTGTTTTTCTATCCATGGCTTTGTATTCTGTTTTTTACATCTGCCAGCTCGGTAAATTTTTGACCCATGGCTCGTCTGTTTGCCTGTTAATTGGAAGGGTCTCTCAAAATATGTGCCAAGTGTTTCATTCTGACAACTTTCTGCGAACAGAAAAACAGAAAATGGTTAGGGGAACATCACAGATTTTACACATCAAAGTCTGTTTACAGGTGTTGGGGAGTATACCTGACAATAACTGTAGGCTCTTGTGGCTCCAGAGGGAGCTGCACAACGTCTCCAGTGACATTAAGAGATCTCACTTGAGAAGAGTACGAGTTTAAAATGAAAAACATCTGTGGGTGTGAGTTAGAAAGGCATGAGGTTACCCTCATCTCTGCTGGAGGCTTACAGCTCAGGGCTCCATTAGCTGCTGTTGGTATAACACACCCAAACCTCTGACTGATCTGTCTGCGGATGAATTGCATTGTGGCTAATGTAGCCGTAGCCATTAGATTTTGACAAGGCGGGAGAATGCATGGAATAAAAATTACAATATGGTATCTCTGATTGTGAGGCATTATTTTGATCCTACTACCCATTGTGAGTCTGACAATGTTATAGGAATGCAACACTAAATCATCTTTTAAATATTTCACTATATACGTTTTCCTTTTAACTACTAATCTCTCATAAATTAACAAAACAAATCTGTCAATTTCTGCCTAGTTGTCCAGCATTTGAACACAACAAATTTCATCCAGTCTTCACCAGATTTGGTCCATGTTTGAATCCACCCAAAAACAGTTTTTCAGTATATCACACATTTTCACAATAACTGGCTGCCAAAACAACAGCATTTGTAGCTAGTTCCTTCAAAATGTCTACTATGACCTATGTTTCTGTTTTCCTGATGAGGACCTCTAGCAGCTGTGTGAATTATGGCTAAACCAAACCTTAACCACAGAGATGACAAAGCAGATCAATAATAACACGGAACACAATAAATATGAAGGGCCATAATAGTGAATGATTTAAGCACTTTAGGTATTCTCCAAAAATTACGACCACTATTGGTGGTCGCTCTGCATTAATCGAAATATTATCGAAATCGCAATACAAGCAAGTGCAATATGCAAATCACAGAAGCTGCAATTTTTTGACAGAGGTAACATTTCTGACAGCTTTATCATGAGGTACTGTAGTTCTGAAGAGATGTCCTGGCCTATAGATCTTGTTCTTTAAGAAAACATGTTTTGTTTACAGTACATAAATGTCACATCATCAGGATTTAAATTTGTGATGCAAAAATGATCAGTCCACACTAATCGTGAATCATATCATGTCAAAATATGTTTTTACCATATTGTACAGCCCTAATCCAGTTTATATATATATCAAAATGACAGATTTAAAGGATTGTGCAGCCTAGGTGGCGTAATAACCTCTTTGATATCTATTTTCAGTCTGCTTTCTGTCTGTGCGGCTGTATGAGTCTTGTTTGTAGAAAATATACAATGAATCCCAGCACTCTTCTCTCCAGTGCCTCTTGTGAAATATATTTAGAATATCCATTCAGTGTTTAACCCCCAACGCACCAGCTAGGCCCATTCAGCTCCTACCACAACATCACAGCTCTCCAGTGGAGCCTGCTCTCCATCATCAGCTGTGTTAGTTGTGTTTGTTTTAGCCCAGTCCACCTGGCCCTCCATTTCATTACTTCAATTAGCGTGATTAGGATCTAAAATTGCTTGTGTCGGCGCGGTGATTGACAGCAATTGGCCACTTAGGGAGGAGAGCTGCAGACACACACACAATGCTGCTCAATGGCTTGTGTAGTGAAACACGCATGTGTGCAGTCTGTGTGTGTGTGTCTGTGGGTGTGTTTGTTTACCCTGATGGGAGTTGGGCTCACTGAAGATGAGAACAATTCTTCAGGCAAACAATGTGAGACCAACACCATAGAAAGTCCAGATATCTTGCTTTACCCACATGTGCCTTGTGAATGTTTGAGGGAGTGGAGGAGACGGATTGAGTTAGTCTGTTTGTGTGTTTTTATTAATGTATCTTTAATGCACAGCATCATATATGATCTGCTGTGCATATCTACATAAATTAACATACATTGCTATACTAGGCCTATGAGCATAAAGTACAGTGTAGTATATACAGATACTATAAATAATTTTCAAAGAATTCCACAACTGTAATCATGTGTTGATATGAAAATTCCTCCCATCTCCACCCGTACAGTTTAACATGCTCTAAGCGTGTTGCAATCAGCATGTATCACATGCACACTGATAGAGCATGACAGACAGGCAATCACTCCTCAGTCATGGCACGTTTTGTTCAACCCAGCAGGAGTTGGGAATGTGGCTTGTTTGGCAGAGGCACATTAAACGGTTGAGCGTAATTTAGAGGACTGGCTGGTCTTCATGTCTCTTCTCATTAAGGCCCTTGTGGTATACGAGGGCCCTAAGTAGCGACTGCTGGAGCAGATCCTGGGTATCTGTCTCTGCACAATCTTCGTGGCATGTGAGAGGGCAGAGTGAGGCGTTATGTTTATAGTGCATCAGTGCCAAGTACAGGCCGTTCATCATCAGGCGTTGATAGCCAGAACCGCAGAGGTCCATGACAGAACATTAATCTGCCTCTCAGGCAGCCATAAGTCTCTCCTCTTCCTCCTCCTCTGCAAGTCATACTCATGATTGTCATTCACTCCCTTTTTCTTCATCTTTCTTTTTCATCTTCCTCCATCTCACGCTCCCATCATTCTAGTCTTTCACAACATCCTTCTTCTCCTCTCCTTTGATCCATTCATTTTGGTTGTCTTGAGCTTTCCACCCACTCTCACTCTTTGTGTATCATTTTGATTTTATTGTTTGGGTGTGTGTCCTCTTGTCCAAATGAATCTGTCTCTGAATTGGATTGGAGTGATTCCTCCTCCTTCTCCCTCAAGATGTAGTAGTCATAGTTTAAACAGCACCCTGTCTCCACATTTGATGTTTTACGAATTGTGAAAATTGTTAAAATGTGTAATGTGAAAAGGGTCATTCATATTGATCATCACCTGACTCTGCTGTTCCATTTTAGCATCATTAAGTGAATAGTTTTGGTTTTACAGCCCACAAATTTACTGTTTTTAATTCATCATCCAGCGGCTGCTTTTTAGAGAAAAAGCTCTGATAAACTCACTGTGCACTACCTAGTGCAGCACCAAATGGCTTGCTGATGAACACAGTAGAGGATTTAGCAAACTAAAAAGCACGATATTTCCCTCAGGACGGGAGCAAAACACAGCTAAAAGGAGAGTGGTAATGGACTGGTTGTCAGAAACATGCCTGCAAATGAATGCTAATGATGCTCCTTGTTTGATGGATGTGTAAATACGAACAGAGAATATGTGCTACTGTATAACTACTTTATGAGGTGTTGAATTATTAATGCAGCTTAAATAATGTTGAATATCAAAGTTTTAAATGCATATTTAGCCTTTTGGAATCTGACTGTTCCTTTGGAAGATTTCTTGTTTCTTTTTTTTCACTCCAGGATGTCTGTGAAAAGTGCAAAGGGAGGACCAGAAAGTAGACCATCCTCTGCTGCCAGGTCAGTGAGATCTAACTAACAGTCGTGGAGGAAATGAATAGGGAATGAATACACTTATAAAGTCAAATTAACAATTTAATTAAAAGCTTAATCAAGAGGTGAGATTTAAATCTGTACTTGATACGATATCCGGATTTATTTCTTAGACAGTAATGAGTGCTCAAAAGAAAGATGGATACACAAGAGATGGTGTAGCATGCTTTGGAAAGATTTTTTATATTTTAGTTTCTGGGTAATAAAGTCTGTAAAAATTAAAACAATTGTCTCCCATTGCTGCTGCTGTCCATCAGCAGTCTGATCCATCTTAATTCTCCAACAGAAGGCCACAAAGTTTAGTGATTTTTATCGTTTGTTATGAGAAATTTTAAAAAAGTATTAATATTGATTACAAGACATTAAGTGCACTTTGAATTGATTAAGGCTTCTTTCTCTCCTAGCATGTCTCCACGAGGAGGGAGGGGTGCAGCAGCTGGCAGATCGCCAGCTACGAGATTCAAAAGCAAGGCCCTTCAGCTCAGCCTCTCCAAGAAATTCTGGTTATTATCATTCTCTGTTTCTAATCAACATTGATTAGGACAAGGGGAGTGGGTTGTGTAGATTTGTGCACCCAATTAGTGCCACCAATTGGTGCATTAGCTGCAAAACAAGCTTTCAGAATTTCAAACTTGTCCTCCTATGAGACGCTTCCTTCCTCCTGCAAGTGACTGACGTAAACACTGATGTCAACTGATTAAACTGCTGACGTTTTTCAATCATTTCACTATTATTTAAAGGGAGGTTGGATGGAGTAATCACCCAAAAGGCACTTGCAAGTGTGTTTATTTAAGTAAGTTAGGAGGGGGAAGTATAGGTCTTGCTTTGATGATGACAGCTCTCAACACTTGGCACAAAAATGCACACTTCACAGCTCAAAGTCGCCCTCGGCCCAGGGGAAGGGCTCTGGTGAGGAGGATGCCAGTCAGCGCGGTAAAAGGAGCAGCAACAGCTCAGCGGTGGCCGCTGCCTACATCTCCTACCTCAATAAGCTGTTTGGACAGGTCAGTTCAACAGCACAGTACAACTCATGCTCACATGTGTGTTGTCACAGTCTTGACACACTTGCTGGTTACTAGGTTACTCCAAAAAAAGGACATTCGTGCAGTTTCAAGCTTCCTGTTTTATAAAAAAACATCATCAGGAGCAGGTGTCAGAGAACAGCATTTAATAAACAGCAGGTGTGCTCAATTGCATCAATTAAGCTGATGATGTCACAGGCGTAAACTACTTGTAACATGAATACACGTCAACACCGACACCCACATCATTTCCTGAGTCATATACCTGTCCCTGAGAGACTGTCCTGTTTTAGCAAGTGACACAAAATGACAGATGTTCAAGTGCCAAAGCCCTCTAGTGGTCGTGCTAATTAGTCTTGTCTGTCCTGAGCAAGGGAAGGAGTCAGTTGTTGTTACCATAGAGCGACAAAGTCCTCAGAGGGAGGAGGTTTGGGTTGATGGGTCAACAAAAGACCTGACATGAGGGACCACTATTCATGTACTCATTATCACGATTGTTCCAATGCCATTCTTCCCAATTACTATTTTATTCCACAATGTCTTTGTCTGTCAATCAAGACAAACAGGGCAGAGCCATAGTACATTCATTTCATCAGGAATAAAAGCAGCTGGAATTAAATAAATTAACTACAATACAGTGTTATTGTGAAAGGAAACAGCATTAAGTAACATTTTGCGAAAATGAGCCGATGTTTGAAACTCTATTTGTATTATTACACAATATTATGGTTACAGTCTATATTTATACATATGATTATTTCTTTAGTTAATTTTGTACATTTGGGACTCCGTAGGCCATGAAGGATGTTAGACAGATAGTTTAAAGAGAAAGGCAAAGAAAGGTTGATGAAGTAGAGGTTTATAGCCCGAGTCACAGCTGAAAGAAATACAATCAATAGATCCATTTTCCAACTTCATTCAGTGTAACATTAACACAGACTGGAGCTGGAAAATAGGTCAGTTTGTTCAGCTGATTCTAACTATCGACTGAAAATATAAACACTGGTTGTAGCTGTTTGCAGTGAACGGTCACTATCTGAAAATAAACACCCTGTTTGCAAACCATTAATTGCTGATATAGAATTGGTCAAATGACTGTGGAAAGTCGATGTCATTACCCACCTCTATACATTAAAAAATGAAACCACCTGACCAGGACTGTGGACTTGTTACATCATCCTCTAAATCTACAAAAAGAAAAAATACTAAAGTCACTCCAATAATTCCACTTCACAAATGATATACTGGCGGGACACTGGGCTGCCAGCCATGAATGCACTGGCTGGTTCAAGTTAAGCTTTGGCTCTGTTTATGCCTGATACCCTGATCCCAAATTGCTTGGGCAACTGACAACTGGAACTGAGCCAACAAATGATCCAGCTCAATGGCACCTTGTTCATTACCGTTAAAAACTTTAGTTGATTTATATAGAGAGGCCACAATTTACAGTGTACATTTAACTGTAATATAAAATATTATAATTTGTATTTTTATTTGTATGTGTACTATATTTTCTGTCCTGTAATCAAGAGGATTAGTGTGGCCCTTCACAGAAACTAAAGAAGCTGGTGTTTGTGGTGGTGGGAGACAGAGAGGAAGACTTTAGCTACATGGTTATATCTTTACATAGAGAAAATGGATGTGGATCAGATCCAGGATGTTAATACGACTTAAAAACTTTTTATCAAGGACAGAACCCTGAATGGCAAATACCCATTAAAATAATTGGTGGGAAATGGACAGTAATAACAAGGACTTATTCTATGTTCTACTAAAATTGAAAATTAAAATTTCACATGCAGAAGGTCATAATTATTTATGCATTATTTAGATAATGCACCACCATTATGTCCTAAGATGTCAATATTTGGAATACTTATATACAAATGGCCCATTCAGAGATGCTTCCATCTAGGAATTGACTGTTTACAACAAAAACAGTAGGTTTTGGCAGAAAAGGCTCTGCTATTTGAGGGAGCTCTCATAGATTTGAGTAGCAACCCCCCTTAATAAACATAAATGAACATTAACATAGTTAAAGTTAAAGCAACAATACCTAAAATATAAAGAGGAGACTGTGGTGGAGGAAATTGCAGAAGCAAACAGTGTTGGCATGAAGGTATCAACAGTAACAGTGAGACATGTCAGGTTATAATTATCATGCTGTAAACCTGCATGAATATGACAAGTCAGCTTATGCCAAACAGTTTATTAATGAGCCAGTAATTTTGATGCATGAATGAAGGATTTACAAAGTGCAGGACATTGACTCCAGAGACCAGATTTCTCATCCAAACTCCAAATCTGTGATTAGGTTCAGGCAACAAAAGCACTTGTTTCAGTTAAATGTTAATGTTGTCCCCCATGTCCCATGTTGTTCAGACATGCATGTTTGAAGTACTTTTATGGCATTTGTCTTTATTTGTTCCTCACGCCTCAAACATGTTTTTTTATTTTACTTTTACAGTCAGTTGTCAGATCAGGGTTCCTTCTGTTCAGTGACTTGTATTCCCCTTTAATATTATAGTAGTAGTAGTAGCTGTAGTAGTTTTATTGTTTTTATTATTATTATTTTATAGGATGAAACTCATAAAAGATGCTTTTAATCATGAAACCATATGGGACACTGCTGAGACCTTATTACAAAACAGAGCCAAAGGCTTTTCCATAAATGCCTTCATCACAGGAAAGGATTTACTGTAAAAGATAACAGAGAAATCTACGCCGAGGGGAGTTGTGTGCCTATGAACATTTTAATGATGTTTCATAACTAGATTTCTTAATAACTAATGGGACTGTTTCATTGTTTTAAAGTAATTTATGGGAAATGGTATCCATTGCACAGTGACCTTGGGCTACTGTGGACTCCACTTCCACATCTTTCCCTGAGTTACTACCTCACCTGCCATGCCTGAGCCACCCTTGTTTTACTGTGACAGTCCCTGGTTTAAATTTACTATTAGCCAGGTAGAGAAGTCTGCATTGTATCCACAGGATAAGGGACAGACTGTTTTGGTTGCTGCTCTGACACTGAGGCAGGGAGACCATCCATCCTGCAGCAGTCCTAATCCCTGCCTCAACACAAGTATTAATAACCCCCTTAGCAAGGTTCACTGTCAGCCCTCATTAGATCCAACTGAAGGAGGACCGACAGAGACAAATAGCTGAAAAACAATTGATGCATTTACATGTCAGAGCCACAGCAGATGGATGTGAAGTAAAACAGGCCATACTCGTCTATTTGTGATATATGTGCATTCTCCAACTGTAGTGTAAGTGTCTTTTCTATCTGAGGACCATTTGTGTTTGTGTGAAGTATCCACATACCTCGCATATGTGTCTGTGTGTCATGCTTACAGAGCAGTGGGCTGTTCAATGGGCCATGTGAAGGCAGACAGAATGAAATTAACTGTTAATGGGCTCGTTCAGATGGATGAATTGAGAGTCTGTATGGCATGCTGTCTAATCCTTTTCTGGAAGAAAAAAAAAATCCAATTAATGTGTTGACCTTGCTATCTAAATATGCCCTTGTAGGCTGGAGGATTTTGTGCGGGATAAACAACAGTTCTGGACTCTTGGCAACAGAGGTGTTTTTTTATGCTGCAGCATCAACAAACATATTAAAACTTAAGAGGTTTATATAAATCAGAAGTGTTTTAGCATTTGAGGCAGAGTACAAGTATAGTGATATAACTCTTGATGCAATTGTGTCCTGGCATTGCATTTGTGTTTCGACTCTGTTGGCAATATTATACAGTGAATAATCATTTGAACGGCTGCCACGCGGAGCAGCTTCCAAATAAACCATGGGAGCCTCTCCTTTTCCTGAAGCTATTGTGCACTTGAGCAGGATGACCTTGTATGATTTATGTATTAGCCACCCTGAGTGCCAGCATGTATTAGGAGGAAAATATTGCACTTCTCTTTGCATTTCACTTTCACTGCTGCTCTGATTTGCCTTTTTATCTCTCACTTTTCCAGCTGTGAAAAGAACAACTAAAGGTTGAAAAATCCTTTTTCTCTGTGAAGTAGAAATAAAGTGATGGTAAAACAGACACTTGATTAAAAGCAAAGGTCCTACATAAAATGTCAAAGCATTGATGCAAGTTGAGCATTAAATAGACTTAAGGATCAAATTGAAGCCAATGCATTAAGACTGTCTCAGCATTCAAGTTTGTCCTCCAGTGCAACATATTTTTGGTGATTTTTTGTTTCCTTTTCATGTAAAACCTCAAAAAGGCTTTAGCTATAGCTATAGCAACTTTATAAACGTAATAAGGTAAAAAGGTCAAAAAATTCCCTCAGAAAATACAGCAGAATAAAAGTAATGTCTGAGTAAAATGCCAGTATTTTACATGCAAATTGTTACACCTATCCACCTTATATTAGTTTTGAAATCAATTGACCCTCAGCAATTTTTCCTATTGGATGAAAGTGAGGAAAAACAAGCCTACAGCAAATCGGCGCACATTTGTTCACACTATAATGAGAGCTTTTATAAGCTTGAGTGTCAGTCTTGTCTCTTTGAACTTATAGATATCCTCAGGCTCGTGGTGTCTTTGTGCTAAGCAATATCTCCATATGTCAGGCTCATTTGCTCTATACGAAGATGACTGAGTTTTCATGTTTCCTGCTTCCCCTGTGGATGTGATGATGTTCTGTGTTGAGTTGCATATTGTTTGTGTCAAGTTTCTTCAAAAGGAATCTTGCTAAAGATGCATTGTCTCCCTGCTTTTAAAGGATGATTAGTTTCATTTCATGATCTTTTAATATTGAAGCTTTACATAAGTAAATCATTGTTTCAAGGATAGATGCATGTGATATGTCTTGCTAAAATATGAGCACATTTTTGGCCAACATACTGTACAATGGGTGTAATCCATGCAAGCTCTCAAACCTCTAAGCTCATCCTTTTTAAGCTAAAATTTGAAGTGTATTTCTTGCCTGAGGATGTGCATTTGCACGGTTTTGCAACTGATGACCAAATTATAATGTGTTCTAATCAAAATTGTCTGTCCGCAACAACTGGAATATATTAACAAATTGCTATTTTAAGCCCTAAGCACACATAAAATTCACTCCAATCCATTATTCTTAATGACTATCAACGTGGAGGTTTGGTTCCTAGCTCCTGGCTTGCCTCAACTTCCCTGAAAACACATGAAAAGGGGAAGAGAAAAAGGGAGGATGAGAGGGAGAGATCACCCTGCGCAAATGTCAAAACAAGGCAAAGAATACTGAATGTTTCGCACACAAGGTTATATGCAAATTATATGTTTTGTGTCTGTGTAAGAAAGTGTGTAAGTGTATCTGTGTCTTAGTTTACATGTATCTGTGTTTCTTTGTGCAGTGTTTCTGCAACTGCCACATGGTCTTGCGTGGGTGTGTATTTTTATGCACACGGACTGAGCTTATTATGCTGCGTCTCCCTCAGGATGCTGCAGATGTAGAATGTGTTTGTTTGCGTGCATGTAGTTAGTGTGTGGTATTGTGTCATTTTGCAAATTAGAAAGACATGTCGCTGGGTGAAATCCCATTAGAGTTCACTGTCAGCATGCGGCAGTGTTGACATGATATGCATGTTATTCTAATTTGGTAGTCAAAAACAGATTATCACTGGGGTTTTTCTCAGGAGAATTTGCTTATTTAAAGCCATCCTGATTTTACATCCTGTCCTTCGATGCTGTCTTGTAATTATTTCCACTGTCTTTTCTTTTCTTTTCTGCTCCACAGGAGAGGGAACTGATGCCAGAGGAGTTAGATGGTAAGATGTGGTGGGTGTAATTACGATGCAAACAAATGATAAATCACCAGTCGATTGCGCAGCTTTATCAATTGTATTAATATTTCTCCTGTTAAGCTCAGTCCTCATTGTGATTCATGTAAGAGACTGAAGGTTTCTGAGACTGCTGTAATGGTTTGTCAATGAGTCAGAGCTACAACGTCAGTTAATGCAACATAACTCGCTGCTCTTAAGAGCTGGCTGTAGTTCTTTCAGTTGGCGTCAACAACTTACAGATAAGTTAAAACTTTGTTCAAAGTGTAACTATCAGTATCTGCACACACTGTGTGTACATGTGTGTGTGTTTGACTCTTGGGGGAAAAATACGTTACCCTACTTTAAGGTTTGTTGCCATTGCTGTAATTTGTTTATATGTCTGTCAGAGCTGCAGGAGGCCTTTAAGGAATTTGACTACGATGCGGATGGCTTCATCCATTACAAAGACATTGCAGACTGCATGAGGACCATGGGCTACATGCCTACAGAGATGGAGCTCATCGAGATCATCCAGCAAATCAAGATGAAATGTGTGTATTTACCTGTCTGGTTATATATGTTTGTGTGTGTGCAGTTTCCAAATCAGTGATAAAACCATGTGCGCATGATTGATGGGTCTCTCTGGGGCGAGTAGGTGTGAATACGTGAGTAATGTGTCTGTGCGTGTTGCACAAACACATGTGCTTGTATACGCGCATGTTCTTTCCTATGAGTCCGTGAGGAACTGATGTTTGTCTTTGAAGTTGGGGACATTCGAGACGTTTTAGCAGACTGATTAATGGCCCTCACACAGCAGGTGTACGGGTTTATGAGTGTGAGTCTGCATGAAGAAGTGTGTGCTTAATTGAGATCTAACTTTCTTCTCTCGGCTCTTAATGAGGGTGTGTTTGTCTTTGCTGTCTTCTCTGACTGATCAAGTATAGATTTGTGTGTGGTTGGTGTTTCAAAGTTTAAGGTGAATCATCATTGCATCGATTTCTGCCATAAGCCTGGAGAACCAGTTCCTGTAACACCTACCTAGTGTCAGAGCAAGGCCAGAAAATCTGAACAAAACCTTTGAGTGTCTGCCAAGACTTTACATAAACCTTCAATGGACACACAGGACTTAGATGCACGGAGCATGCAGAACTATTTTGTAGATCTTCATGAGTGTAACATTTGAGCAGATTTCTTTTAAAAGAATAAGATAAGATAGTAAGATTTTCTTACTAATTAAAAGTTAGATACATATGCACCTTTGCTCAACTACGACCAGCTACAGCCTAACTTGATCTGATGTGACCACAAGCGTATAGTGGCTGATCTTAACTAATGTTAACTTAACATTTTACTGTATAACTGACATTAGTACCTCTGTTCACAAAGGACTGTTCTCTATTATCCAGTAATGGTCAGTTCACCACGATATCACTGTTGGTTGGGGTTACAGGTGAAAGAAAGCAGACCTCTGACCACAACCAACCACACACATCAAAGGTGGAACAGACCTGAAACTTTCAGCCAAAGGGAGCATTGAAATCAGGGCTGCACAATTAATCGAACATTATCAAAATTGCAATGTGGCCAAGTGCAATAGCCAAATCACAGAAGCTGAAATGTTTTAATAAAGGTAAATTATAATGAAGTAATGCAGTTCTGAAGAGATGCCCTGGCCTATAAATCTTGTTCTCCAGATTTAAGAGAATATGTTTGTTTACTTCAGACTTCAATAAATGTCACATCATCATGATTGAATCATTTTTTCCAGTGAAAATTAAATTTGTGATCCAAAAACGATCACTCCCACAGTAATCGTGAATCATATAGCCATCGCAGTATCTGTCAAAATAATCGCAATATGAGGTTTTTACCATACTGTGCAGCACTTAGTGAAACAGCCTGCTTTCCAGCCTGCTCTTAAAGTCCAAACAAAATGAAATTGCTTTTTTTTATGTGCAACAGCATACACATCTGATCTGGAAATAAAGCAGCAACATCTCCCTTCTATCATGGGCAGACAGTGTCTCAAGAGCCACAGGCTCTGAACAACAACCCACAGTAGCTCTCCTGCTGAAGTCTCCTTCTTGTGGCTAACACTGGCTAACACACATCTTGGCCTGCAGTTAAGCTTGCAAACATTCACTAGGAGAACTGCTGTTCAGCTGCAGCACATTAAACTGCATGTAACTGTATAGCCGTTTAGATGCAGATGTAGTCTCTCTACCTATGAGTTGTATGCTACAGTACAACTTTGTTTAGTTTGTCTCCCGTTCCCCTGCTGGTGTTCACAACCGCAACTCAGCTTCTGTCAGTCAAACCCTGTCACGCCCCTTCCAGCCCACTGAGATGAAAAGGACTTTTTTCTATATATTTCCCTAAATACCTTTTTTCTCTCTTTATTTTAGTAATACAATCAATTAACAATGCATTCAAACAAACACATATTGATTTTTTAAAACGTAATTTATCTCAAATATATATTTTTTACTTATTTCAAATGGTATCCAGCCCTGCAGACAATTTTGGTTTTATTTGCTCTGCTGAAGAAATGGTGCTTCTGTTAACAGTTGACAAGATGCACTGTGAATAATGGGGGCATTGTTTTTGGAAAGGGATGTTGCTGCTGAACAACTTGTCATTTTTCGATTCTCTAAGCACCACAAAAAAAGTCTTTCACCTCCATTTTATTTGTGTGGAGGCAAACATTTCAGATGACTCAAAATGTAGGCAAACAAAACCAAACATGGCGAGACACCATTAGAGAAAAGTCATTTATTTATTTATTTTTGTCTTGTAATTGGCTGAACCATCCCTTTAACCAGGTGTGTGTAAAGGCAATGCCATTTTATATTGATTGTCTTAGAGACTTCTATGTGTGTATGTATGTGCCTGCTTTGAGAAATAAGCTATATTCAGGATCAGTTTACACATATTTAACATAGTGTTGAACCCCCAGGACAATAACACTAATAATGAGCAAAATACTGGATTTTGGGTCCACAGAGTAAATGTTTGGCCACAAAACAGTTACATCACGTTGGACACAGTAAGGCAGTGTTTCTCGGTTGTGATCCTCAGGGACCAGAGTGCATCTGGCTTCTGTGCTACCAGTTAGCTAATTAGACTCACCTGGAGTCCTAGGTGCAAATAGATTTTTTGATTAGATGTTAGGACGACAACAACAGGGATGCTACTGCTGCACTAACCTCACGTAAAGATTTCATATAAAAGTCCTCATCTGATGCAAAAAATGACAACATCAAGAATACTATTTTTTAAGCCTACAGAGTCCTAAATTACCAAATACATCATGCTGAATTATGGGGAAAAGTGTAAGAAATTACTTATATTTCGTTGTGGCTTTACCACTTGATGTAATCTTGCAGCTATGTTTTGAATTACCGTATACAGTAAGCTTTACACAATAGAAATGTAAAGCTGGAACAGGGAGATAAACAATATGTGATGCTACAAACTATGTAGAAAAACATTTTCCCTCAACCTCAACGGTAGCCACGAGAGGACTATTCAGGGATTTGGTAGTGGTCATACTACAAATTTAGACTTGTGTAGACTTATGCTATGTGTCATACTTTGTAATATGAATTATTCATCTTTTCAGTGATGCCTTAATTTGAACCATAAGGTAGAGTGGGCTTCAGACACTCTTAGTTTAATCTCTGTAATGTAATCCCTATAGCACCATTAACACCATGAAATTCACTCTTTTTTTAATATAACTAGCATCAATTAAATAATAATAATAATCTCCTTAGACTTTTGGGAGAATTTTTCTACTGTGTGATTATAGACTGACCCACTTAAGACACAGACATTCTTCAAGTTGGTGTCAAAGAAGCCCCCACAGACTGCTGCTCCACAAGGGTAAAGCCAGTCAGCCAAAAAATATACCATACCTTGAGGCAAGTATGAAAATTGTTGGCCAACTCAAAAATCATAGAATTAATGGCCTTTTATTTCAGAATCCTTCAGCTGCTGTTGTAACTAGTACATGACAGTTTAAGCCATTAGTTTCAGCAGAAGAAAGAAGAAGATTCAGCACCATTAAAAGTGCTCTTCAAGCAAGAAGAGTTTGACATAGATATTTTTCATCCTCAACAGTCCTGAAACTCTATGCACTGATTAAATTTTTTGAACCACAAAATGACCACATGGCTTTATTGAAGTAGTCTTTCACATCCGCCAAGGCACGGCTAATGAAAACAGGCCGAGTGTATTGGTCTACACTATCAAATAAGCCTGTCTTTTGTTCAACTAATAACATGAGCCTTCCCATTGTATCGGTCTGTTTTGATAATTACCATGGGGATCAAACAAAACAAAGCTGGTTCTAAGAGGGTTGAAGGAAACATAATGAGCACATAGCTGAATGTATTGTAATAGTTTCCATGCACTAAGGACATTCATACACGTTTCACAGACCATCTTGGTATTAAGTCAGGAAAGACCAGGTGCAGTACGACTACCTTTACTACCTCTAAGTACTAAGTCGTTCTAAGTACTTGTACTAGTATTTGTACCTTGAATATCTCCTCATTAGATAGCGTTAGTGTTGGTGGTACCTGGAGAAGTGGGTATACTAATTATTGCTATTCGTCCAGCAAAGGATAAAAGAGCCTGTGTTATAAACAGTGACATGTAAGATTTAATTTCTGCTGCTTGACCTCAGTGAGTATAGATCATTATAAATTAACATTGGACACAGAAGTGGTGCAGATTTTGCAAACAGTACTGGCCCACAGACTAAAGGCAAAGGAGACAACTACATAGTTCTGCATTTTGAGTGAAGTACTCCCTATTCCTTACTTCATCCACTCTTGAAAATCAGACAGCTATGCCCTGCCTGCGGCATAAAGAATTCAGCTCGCATGACCACTATTGAATGATGGCATCATAGGGGATTTAGCAGTGAGTATACCCAATGTTGACTGAAAAATAAGTGTTACTGCCTATATGCTGCACCACTGGGTAGTGTTGATAACTGCACTTATATAATTAAAAGGAATCATTTTACTCCACATTTATTTGGCAGCTTTACCTCACTAAAATAGGATAAGCTCAACAATATGATAAATTATTGTCCATTTGCCCAACTGAAAAAGTCCTGGAAAAATGACACAGGAAATATTGGTTTTTCAATTAATTTGGTGCTGACATTGTGACCGTCTAAAGGCAAAGGTATGCTCAAAACGAACACACTTTTATGATGTATCTGACGGTCAGATACATCATAAAAACGAGTTTCTGACTATTGCAAGGCAAAAGCTTGAGCAGAACAACCAGTCGAGGCTGGGGTGAAAAGCTTGCCGTCGTCGAGAAGGGCAACAGGCATTAATAGTACTGGGGGTTCAGATGCTGTTCAACGACCTGACAAGCATTTTGACTTGAGAATACAGATGAAGTCTCTGTATAATAAAGTTTGTTTTACCAGTAAATTACTCAATATTAAGATTTCCTGACTAATTTATGCATAAAAGAAATGCCCATAATCAATTTAGGAATATACCGTGAATGTCAAAAATAGAAACTAGTAAAACACATATAAAACAAGATAGTTAAACTTGTATTTCCATCTGAGATCTGTGATGTTAAATCTTGGCAAGCACAGAAACATTTGCAGTGTAGCAGCTAAAGAAACAGATATTTCTCTCAAGAGCTGGTGGAGAACAAAACGAAGCTAAAAGTAGAGTGAATATTGGACTTGCGTTCAGTAGGTCGCCAGAAACATGACTCCAAAATGAATGCTTGTGTCTACTGCATGCGTAAACAAACAACTGTTTGCTACCATGTTCAGCACATTGACTACAAAGTTATAATATGTTAATGTCGTCATGCTTAATGCATGAATCTGTATATGAAGCATAGACACTCCAGGGAGGCATAGAAGTTATTACTTGGTAGTCTGTGCGTGTGTGTCTGCAGCTACTGTATATGTGTGTCCTTCTGTCTTTCTGCAGGGGGTGGGCATGTGGACTTTGATGATTTCTGTGAACTAATGGGGCCGAGGATGTTGGCTGAGACGGCTCATATGGTCGGGTTGAAGGAGCTCCGCTGTGCCTTCAAACAGGTGAGAGGTCCCCAGCTAGAAACTCTAAAGAAGTCTGACTTCCAGCCAGGGAAAGGGGCCTATGACAGTACTTTGAAGTGTGCAACAGGACCTTTCCTTCGAGGGTGTCAAGAGTGCATGGCTCTTACTTGTAAACAAGTCCGAGGGAAGAAGGGGAGCTGGCTGTGAATGCAGAAGTAAATTGTTTAAGGGGAAAGGAAAATATTGATATTGATGCTGTTTTTATGAAACCTGATCCCTGCCATCCAAAGAGACACAATTTATATTCTATATGTGTCTCACCTGTTAATTTGTGCACATTAGACACTATTGAGTTTCCTCTTTGACGTCAATACAGAGGCAGGTACACAAGTTGATGATACTAAATGGATTGTCCCCCAAAGCCTAGGTGTGACGTAATCTCTGACCAAGCAAAACAAATGAGGCGATCATGTTATTTATGAGCACAGATTCTCACACCTGGGTTCATCCATTTAACACATTACAGCATGATAGGTTTTTAATGGTTACTGCAAAGCAGACAACACTGATAATGTGATCTTAATGATTATAACTGACAATGTATTGGAGTGTACAATATGCTTCTGGGATTAATTCATCTATATTACAAATGTAGCCGTGTGCACTTAGTTTGACCAGGTTTCTATTAAAACCAAGGGGGAAATTGAACATCAGTCATTAAAGTGATATTTAGTTTAATTACAAATTAGTGTATAAAATGTGCTTTCTACGTGGAAATATCATACATTGTATAGTTGTACAACCAAATGTAACCCCCTTTGGAGCTATAAAGCAAATTTTGTCAAAAAAATAACCCACTCATTGACAAATATTGAATTTTTTAAGCGTAAGCTGTTCTGTTGAAAGATCCGACATATCTGCGTCTTCAGTTTATTCCTCACTTGTGCGTCATCGTCAAGGTCCTGAGTATTGCTATCAAAGGCCAAAAATTCAGAATTATGAATTAGCTCTCAACTCTACTACTAAAACTTCTCCAACTTCAGAGCACTGTCTTCTCTCTGAACAAATGAGAATATATTTTCAACTCATCCCAACTGAGCCTCATAGTCACTTCAAAAGATTTTCTCACTTCAGTACTAACACCTCATGAGTCAGCAATGCCCCATCTGCAGATTCAAGCTGTTTTCAGACTTCCAGGGAACTCGTGCAGACATATTGTAACTATATACTGTAAATGTGACTTCTACTTTTAAAATATTTTTTTGCAAGGCATGATCTGTCTACCTCTGTCTGTTTTACTTATCACATCATGCTTTATTTAATCTCTCCGCCATCCTCATTAGCCCAGAAACATTTAATGCTCTTCTTTGGTCCTTGTGTTACCTCTAATCCTCTTGACCTATGATCTATTTATTATTATTGATTGATTTATCTATGTATTTGTCCCTTACTCACTACATGTTCATGTTCTTGATCTCCCCTAACCGTACATGTTGAAGTTTGATTGTGATGGCGATGGAAAGATCACGATTGACGAGCTCAAAGAGGGCATGAAGACCCTCCTGGGGGAGAAGCTGAAGAAAGGCGAGCTGGAGGAGATCCTCGCCGACATTGACCTCAACAAAGACGGCAACATCGACTTTGATGGTGAGCGGTTGGGGACTTGGGGGGAGAAATGTGTTGGACATGAGGGGACTCCAGGCAAGGTGTGAATGAGCATTAAAACAATTATTAAAAAACAATGATAAAACACAGAGACAGGAGGGACAAAAATAAACTGCTAAATAGAATTACAAATTGGTGTGATGCTAATAAATTTGAAATGACCAGGTTTGTGAACAACCTTTAAAGAGAAGAGTGAATCCAAAATCCTGATCCAAATTATGCTTGCACTTGTTGTGCATAAGAGCCAAGTTAACTTTCTTTTTTGTTAATATATTCGTCAGCCTTTTTTA